CTGTTTTTGATTTTCTCTCAGGTTATCATAGTTAAGTTGCATGTTGTTATTGTTATTATGCAATGTAGGCAAGACTCACGCAAATTTTTCCCCTGCACATAGACATCCTGTCCTTCGGGGATCGTGTTAGTTCCAAGTACCGTGCCAATTTGTATTCTAGTTTCTCTGACACCCTTTCAGACTTCCAGGAAAGCTGTTTCTCCTCCCTCCCCCGAGCATCGTCTCCTTCCATCCACTCTTGGGAAGTCACTCTATCCGCTCACAGTAACCTCAGACAGATACCCTGTTATCTTGGCTTGTTGCTCTGGAGGTTGAAATTGTAATCATGTGAATCTGGTTAGTTTGCCTGTTATATTAGCAAATTAAAAAATATTTTAAATTTTAATTTTAATTTTTAAAAGTAATAATTAAAATGGTAATGGGTCTACTTAAACGTGCAGGATGTTAAATGTTTATATTTGGAGTATTTTTACTCATAAAACCTACAAAGAACTAAATGGGAAAATTTTTCGTTTTATCCCAAAAGGTTGAAATCTGAACTTCCCACATATCCACAATGTAGTTTTGTAATTTAACAAATGTAAAGTGTAATATTCTCTTCAAAGTGCTGAATTGGTCAACATTTTATGCAGTGAATATATTGGGATAACATTTTCACCATATATAAAGAAAAAAAGAGTCCATAAATTGAGTACTGTGTAATAAAGTGATATGACACAGGGAATAAGAATTGACCATGCTAAGTGAAATGTATTTTATACTTGCTAAAAAAGTCTTTGTAGCTAATGACACCTTCAAGATACCTCCTGTACAGAAAAACTGCATTGCTCCGATGTGATTTTGGTCCATTCTTCCACACAAGCTGTCTTCTGATCTTAAAAGTCCACCATCATTTCGTCTTCAGCATCCTGGTTGATGGCAGCAGATTCTTGTCTCTGTACATTTCTCCATTTATCCTTCCTTGAAGGATGCCAGTGTCATATGTTGAAAAACAGCCCCGCACCATGATATTCCTATCACCAGGCTATGGGTTGATGTGCAGTGCCACAATGCTCTGCGAGTGTTCAAGTTGTCATTACCTGTCGTTTTTAGCCCTAATATGTGGCTACATACTACAGACTGTGTATAAAAGATGGACCTAACCACAGCTGGGCAATGATGGCCACCTTATGTCCATAACAAACCTGTTGTTTTGTGATTTCCACATTATGAAGCCTCAACATTAGATATAAAATTTACTATAATGGGTGAACTAAGTAATGCTAGCACACTGCATCCGTAAATCGTGCATATTTCATGCACAGTCGCAAATAAATGCTAATTGATGCCAAATAACAGACTAATAAAACACTGTAATTTTACTCACCATGCCCAAGCACTCAGGGAGACACCAACACTAAAATAGACGAGGTCTATTTTCAATTTACCAAAGGTGACGCCTAACTGATGGCTGCTAGCTTCTTCTGGGCGTGCCATCAGTCAAAGCTACCTCGCCTTATTACGCCCTAAAAAATTCCAAACAAGTGAGTAACACAAAAATTCACTTACCATACAGTTATAGTAAAGGTGAAA